CCCCAAAACCCCAAAACCCCAAAACCCCAAAACCCCAAAACCCCAAACTTTTCAAAGAAAACTGAAATGAAACTTTTATTTAATTTCACTCATTTCTGCTTCTTTGCCTTCTTCTTTTTTGTCCTCTTCTTCATCTTCTAAAAGCTGTTCTATCCATTGCTCTGCTCTCTTCTTTCTCACTTCGTGACCGAATGGGTTCCAGATGAATAGAATTGTAGTAATAGCTATTGGGGTCAAGCATATGCTATAGCACACAACTTTGTCAATGAAGATTGAGGAATGAATTGGCTCATTTATTTAATGCCATATCGCTGATATTGCAAGAACCAGGGCAAATCCTGGACATATTATCCTTAATGGGAAGTAATACATCTTTGGGAATTTCTCTCCAAACCTGGATACTCTCTTTGCAAGCTTAGATAGGGGTAGGATGTAGACTAGAGTAGCCAATTGGAAGAACAAGAACAGGACCAAATTAATACCAGTCGCGTACTGATCTACATATTCTACCCAGTAATATCCTGCACTAGAGGAGAAAAGGCCAATATCCACTATAAACATGACAAGAGCTACTCAAATTGTTATGATTTTTGGGTTGATTCTAATGCTTTTAGTCCTGTTCAAAGTACCAATAATTAGTTGGCTGATACATTGTAAGAACATGTATTGTCAACTCAGTCCCAGAGTTGTAAGCATAATGAAAAACATAATGCTCCATATTTGTGGAAATGGAAGTGAATTGATCAAAGCTGGATATGCTACAAAGGTCAGATCCATCCCTCTCACAGGTAATTCTCCTACAGGTATCCCTGAGCTATAAGAAGCATATCCAATGAATGAAAATAGAGCTAATGAGGCAAATATTGAAGTTGAGAAATTCATAATTGGGATCAGCACAGTAGACCAGAACATGGGATCCCGATCATTCCTATGAGCTGCAATAGTTACAATAGTATTTTGAGCTAAACCTGATGAAAACAGAACCTGGCTTGCTGCATCACCCCAGATCCCAAACGTAAAGAGCTTCGACCAGTCAGGTTTGAAAAGATATGTCCACCCAAGTGTGAATCCGTCTAATGTGATCCCTTTGAAAAATAGAACCGTTAATAGAAAATAAGGCAAAGGCACTGTTAAATATACTACATATTTAGCCGTGTCTAGGCCTTTGTAAACAGTAAAATAAGTAATCAACGAGACTACTGTAAAGGAGACCATAATCATTGGGTTATACGATTCGATATCAAACATACTTTTCGATTTACCCAAAAATTCCTTTACAAAGTACCCATCCGAAGTGAGTGCTTCATGAGCTGATTCTCCTTCCTTTGGAGCCCAAGGCAAGGGATCTTGGAAGGAATAGAGCAAAAAGGTGAAGCACCATGCAACAAGGCACATATAATACACTGCTATGAAGAAGATTATCGAGCTGATTCCAAAGCTCAGCCCAATAAGCCTGGGATGTATGAGGTCATAATATCGGTGAATAGCCCTTCTAAAAATTTGTCCATATGAGATCTCCAGGTAGCTTAATGGAAGGACTATTATGACCACACAGATGGCGTATGGAACTAAGAAGACACCTCCCCCGTTCTTATATAGCATATAGGGGAATCTCCAGATATTTCCGTAGCCAACTGCATATCCAAGGCAGGAAAGCCAAAACTGAATCTGATTTGTGTACCTGCTATTTGTCTTATCTTCAGCCTTAGTCATTCTACTCTCTTCATATGAATGAAGGTGCTGGGCATAAGAACTCTTTGCACTTATCGATGATTCAAACTGGTTCATATATAATCGTGGGCAAGTATTCCTTCCTTCTGACATTTTAGAATTAATAATTAATAACAAATTTCAGAAATTTAATGCAAAACCGGGGTTTTGGGGTTTTGGGGTTTTGGGGA